GGGACACATCAGCTATTGGCCTATGCTGATGATGTTAATTTATTGGGGGACGATATAACTACAATAAAGAGGAACGCAGAAGTTTTACTAGAGGCTGGTAGACAAGTGGGGCTGGAAGTAAATTCCGAAAAAACTAAGTACATGTTAGTATCTCGTCATCAGAAGACAGGCGGGCAAAATTATCTTTGGGTAGCTAATAAATCCTTTGAAAGGGTTACAAAGTTCCAATATTTGGGAACAACAATAACAAATCAAAATGATACTTGTGAGGAAGTTAGGAGGAGACTAAATTCCGGAAATGCTTGCTACTTCTCAGTCCAAAATATTTTGTCTTCCCGTCTGATTTCTAAGAACCTGAAAATTAAAGTATACAAAACAATAATCTTGCCTGTTGTTTTGTATGGGTGTGAAACATGGTCTCTCACTCAGAGGGAGGAACACAGATTGCAGGTGTTTGAGAACAGGGTGTTGAGGAGGATATTTGGGCCTAAGAGAGAAGATGATGGGGCATGGAGAAAACTGCATAATGATGAGCTTAAAAATCTGTACTGCTCCCCCAGTATTGTCAGGGTGATTAAGTCGAGAAGAATGAAATGGGCGGGGCATGTAGCGCGCATGGATGGGACAAGAGGTGTGCACCGGGTACTGGTTGGGAAGCCTGAGGGGAAGAGAGCGCTGGGGAGACGTAGATGGGAGGATAATCTCAGGCGGGATCTATGGGAGGTAGGAGTTGAAGCAACTGGATTTTGTTGGCCCAGGACAGGATCCGGTGGAGGGCTTTTGTTAATTCAGTGATGAACCTTCGGGTTTGGTAAGCCATCTAGTTAGTTAGTTGGTAGTATTTCATAATAAACTAAATTACTTGAGAAAATTTAATGTCTGTGATTTTGTATAAATCTGTATGTTAGAAATAAACTGATGTTCCACAAAAGGATTTTACTTTCAGCAGTCATTTACAGGTTAGTAGAAAAAGTTCTCAAAGCAGTGATATCTTTATAAAACTAAAATTGCACTGACTTGTGTCTTTGAGCCCCATGTGTCTGAAAATTAGTTTTTAATTTAAAAATATTTATAATTTAAGATCCAGTTCATTAATTTAATTTCCAATGTATATCGTATATTGAATTTGATAAATTACATTTTAAAGTGTTAGTTATGGAAATTTTATTAATGTATGTTATTGTAAGTGTAATTAGCCTTATAAGAAAACTAAATCTATCAACGTAGATGGGAGGATAATCTCAGGCGGGATCTATGGGAGATAGGAGTCGAAGGAGACTGGATTTTGTTGGCCCAGGACAGGGTCCGGTGGAGGGCTTGGGTTAATTCGATGATGAACCTTCGGGTTCGGTAAGCCATCTAGTTAGTTAGTTAGTTAGTAGCTGTGGTTATGACAGTGCTGGTAACTATAGTTGTATACAGTAAAGTTTTCGGGGCGACTCAAGTTGATGAAAGACTCTCAGTTACAAGCCGTATCAGGTGGTTGAATGGTGAATAAACCATATCTTCTGCCAATGTTTTGAGATCAATCTTGTCTCCCGAAACGCTGGCAGAAGATATGGTTTATTCACCATTTAGCCGCCTGACGCAGCTTGTAACCTGGGAGTCTTTCATCAACTATAGTTGCATACATTTAAAATGTAATAAAATCTTACTGGGCTATCAGCTTATTAAAAATCCACATTTCAGGGACAAGATTTGTCCTCTTCATCAAATGCTGATGATGATGGAGGTGGTCCCTGAAATGTGGATTTTTAACCAACTGACATGAATGATAGCCCAAGAAGATTTTATTAATGTTAACAGCTGTAAAAACTCAGATATTACATTTCAAATTTAGTTTTGAAAATAAGATGAGAATAGATTATGAACTAAAGGTAGCATGCTTTCATGAGTTTCCACTGCTCTTAATTTTATTATAAATTTCACTGATATTGTAATTCTTACATATATATTATATAGTATTAATAAATCACACTGTGATTTTTCCTTTATTTCAGTCAACGTTTCTCATCAACAAAATTAAAGGTCATTAAGACATTTTCTGCTTCATGTTTCATTTTCATCAATATCAGCTGGTATGAACAACTGGTTTATTTAATTTAGGTCTGATCCTTCATAATACTTTTGGACTTTCCTAACAGCATGTGACAGCAACTCTTGAGAAGCTAAAGGGAGGAAACATTTTTCTATTTTACACCACTGTAGATTTGGCAATATATTAGTCAAGTGTTAATTTACTGTAGATTTTGTTCATACACATCTTTTTTCCCCACTTGATTTTGTCAAATAAAATCACATTCACATTTCCACATTGTATTATCAGATGAAGACTGATTTATTTTCCATCAGCATTTTAACACATGCTGTTCTACAACAGGTACACTTCAGACACCATATGATGATACTATATCAAGACATGTTTTGTCATTACCAGTACAATTACAACAAGTTTTCTGTCTTACATTGATAATACAAATGAATATTAAAATTGAATTTCGTTAAAACATTGTTTGTGTTGAAGGCAAATAAATAAGTACATCTTAATTTAATACTTTTAATACTGTATAATACTTCTCTTGTAGTTGAATCCTGACTTACTCAGTCTGCACAAAATGGATGTACTTTACAATTTTATTCTTATTTTGATATAATACCTGCAACATCTTACCTGTGCTTTTCTAAAACAACAGATTCCATACTGCTAATTAAAATTTCATAAAGTTTGAAGTTAACTTTGTCAGAAGAACTGGGGGAACAAATTTTAATGTCAGTAATAGTAGGGTTCTGCAGAAATTATTACAGTTACTTTCATCCCCATTTTCATGATCAGTAAAAACATTTGTCAAAGCTAGTCTTCCGGGTTGTAACGCTGTGTGTACTTGCAGGAAGATACCAGTGTTACTCCAAAATGCTGGTACTTACCAACATGTCCACATAGCATCAAAATCCAGAAGACTGATAACATCTTCACCATCATATGAGCCTCAAATCTCATACATTTCTTTCGTTTTCTTTATTACAAACAAAAGGTTTGTTGAACTTCAGAACGCAATGCATTTCATCCTGCTTGGAGCAAATCTGGTAGAATTTGATCAATACCAGATACATCATACAGCAATTCTACTTTGTCTAAATTAGGATCAGGCACTTATGGCTCAGCATCGAGTATTTTGATCTTCCTAATAACGTATGGTACTAAGGTCTTAAAAATTGAGTCTCATTAACCTAGCAAGGGCATTTAAATGCCTAAAAGGATATGACTACTTGGAACAAAAAATGAGTCATAATCATGGGTTAGTTCTTTTAGCTTCCAATGCAGCTTCAAATCAGGTTTATATTAATACAAAAGCTGTTTTAGTTTTGCCAGTCTTTGCTCTATGCAATATATCTTCCATACCTACTAATGCAGGAGCTGGGATAGCTCAGTAAGCATAATGACTAGACTATGGACTGGATGACTGGAGTTATATTCCCAACAGGATTTTTTCTCTTCATCATTGTTTCCAGAATGTCTCGAAGGCCCACCTAGCCTATAAAATGGGTAGCAAGGGCCCTATTCCCTGGGGTAAAGTGTCTAGGCTTGAAGCTGATCACTGGCCTCCATCCAATCCTCCAGGCATCTTTATGGCATGATGCTTACTTATTCACATGGACAACTTTACGTTTTTTACCTATCAAAATATAAAACTGAACTACAGAAATAACCAAACCAAAAATACTTCATAGTATTAACATTTATTCCCCAGACAAGCTTAAAATTCCAATTATATTAATAATTCAATTTTATTCTAAAGCCAGAAACAATCTTACCTCACACTGGAAAGAGACAGACCAAAAGTTTAAGAACTCCATACAGGTTTACTTTGCTTCAAACTTCCTAAAAACCATCTACTGTTCTTGGAAATGTAGTGTAGATAACACAGTCCAAATAACATTCTACAAAAATTGTTTGAAACATTTTTATCTGGTGAATAATTAACAAGATAAAGTTGTTGCAATCTTATGTGGAAACACACATTCAAAACTAGTCAAAGAAAAATATGCAATGCCAGGTTTAATTTGGAAAAAATACTATTCTGAAAATAATATAAATTTAGTCACATTTATTTTACCTTAATAGCTTTATTTCATTTCAGCTTTTAGAAGAATGGATAAATTAATGTTTTGAAAACACCCACACAACAATAGAAAAACTTCATTTATCATTTCTCTTTGTTAAGCTTTCATATTCATAGCATACTAAATTACGTGACATGCAAAGATTTGTGTTATTAAATATATAACTAACTCCCTGGTAGCAGAATCTGCAGGTCCAACACCAGCAACATGAAAGCCTGCCACCAGACAGGATCCTGAGCCAACTCCATCCATTTTCCATCCTCACAGCTTACCTACCTAAGATCCATCTTGATATCCTCCCACCTCCTTCTTGGTTTGCTGAGTGGACCTTTTCCAAAAGGATTTCCCACCAAAATTCTGTATGTACAATTTGAATCCCCCATGCATGCTACATGTCCAGCCCAACGCAGCCTCCTAGATTTCACTATCCTTACTATGATAGGTGACCTGTACAATTAATGTAGCTTCTCGTTATGTAATATTCTAAATTCCCCACTTATTTCAACCTTCTAGGTCCAACTATCCTCCTGAGCACCTTGTTTTCAAACACCTGTAATCTACATTCTTCTTCAAAGGTAAGAGGCCATGATTCACAACTATACAAGACAACTGTCAAAATTACTGTTTCAGTGTTTTAGATAGCAAACAGGATGATAACAGTTTCTGAATTGAATAAAAACAAGCATTTCCCAAATGTATTCTACTCTCAATTTCATCATGGACTTCATTTCTATTTGTTATTGTTCTTCCCAGATATTTAAAATTTTTAAACATTTCAAATAATGTTACTTATAATTATGTTTCGCCACTGTTGCTGATGTTGGTCTCATATTATACCCATGTATTTAGTTTTGTCTACATTTACTTCTAGGCCTATTTCCTTGCTAGCCTGTAGGAGAGTTTCTGCATTCTTGGTTATGGTACCCATGCCATCCCCCAGTGAATTGGCATCAGCATAGGCAAGTACCTGGTGCAGATCATTCAATTCAAGCCCTTCCTGATTCCCTCTGACTGACATGTTATAGAGCAAAGTTAAAAAGCATTGGGAATAAAGCATCCCCCTGTTTGAGGCCATTGTGCACTGGGAAGGGATTCAACAGAAGTTTATCTACACAAACTCTACTAGATACCCTATCCAAACATATCTTAATTAACCAACAAGTTTATTTGGTATTCCAAACTCAATCAAAATGCCATAAAGTACTTCTCTTCTAACCGAGTTATATGCCTTCCTAAAGTCTACAAATAGTTGGTGTACTGACCCATTATACTCCTACTTTTTCTATAATATTTGTCGAATGCAAAATATCTGATCAACAGTTGACCTGTTACAGCAGAATCCACATTGATTGTTCCATTCGTTTTATTCATAAATGGCATTACCCGTGCCAGAAGAATATTGGATAAAATTTTGTGTGATGTTGACAAAAGAGAAAAACCTCAGGAGCTACTGCACTCAGTTTTGTCACCTGTTGTGTGAACTTATTAAATATATTAACCCTATAAAACCGAAGCTCATCTAAATAACTGTAAGGAATTCAATCTGTACCACAAAGAAAACAAAACACTTCACTATTAGAAAGATCAACTGGTTAATGATGTTTTAGGAAAGAATGCCCACTTACAGTGAGAATTGTATATATATATTGAAGGGTTAAATAGGGTATGTACTGAAAACACACACAACATAACATTTATTTATAACTGAGATTAAATTGGTAAATAATTAATGAGTATGTTTATATCTTCCACTAATGTAGCATTTCTGGTTTGCAGAAGTGCTCCAAAGTTTTGGGTTTCTGGCATAACAGGTGTTATTAAGATAAAATGTCATAACAAATTTTGCTACCAACAGTTCTACTATATTTGGTCATAAATGAGTGGATAACACAAGCACATAAAGTGTTTTATGCTATGCCCTGACCAGTAAAATGTAGCATATCTTTCTAAAAGGACAAGAGAACAATTTTCCTTTACCTTGCAAAGTCCAGGTGTAGAGGAACAGTCACACCACTGTCTTTTAGTGTGACAGCCTTCAAGAGCCCTTGCTCACTGAATGCTACAGACAGATGATCATTATGGATTGAAAACTCCTTTGCTTCATCCGCCACTTCAATGTATTCAAAGCCTTCAACTCTTGGTACATAGCCCACAAAGTTCAGCAACTTGATGCGTGACATAACATTCTCTCTGCAATATATTGTCACACTAAGTTCAGATCTTCATATTCAATGAAAAATATGAGGGGCAATCAACAAAGGGGTATGCCAGTATACTGACTGAGCTACACCAGCTCATGAACTAAAGATATGGCATGCTTTTATTAGTGTTTAATTGTATTGTATGTCAGCAATCTGTCACCAACTTCACCATGTTTGTAGATACTCTTATGATAACGTGTCTAAGTCTAAACACTGGAGTTAGTTGTGTCACAAAATTCATATCTTCAAGAGAAAGTAATTATATTCTTTTGGAACCATAACAAAATGTTGCAGCCAAACTAAGGGAGGCAAGTGCTGAACCACCTTACTCAATCCTGATTGACTGAAATGTATAAATTCCACTGCAAAGTACTTGGCTTCTAAAGTAAGCATTAAATAAAATTCTATTTTAACACCTCCCCGCAAATACTGAAGTCTTTGCTTCTGTAGAAAAACATACCATAAGATGTTACACAAAATAGGGAATAAAAAGCTAGATCAATTTGAAGTGAATCAGGTTCTTTGGAATAATATGATAATACAAAAACAAATGTGTACAGACCATCAAACTAAAGTACAAGGAGCTTTAGACAAATATTTACAGTGCCAAAATACTTGCATTTGTAACAAGATGGATGTTAGCTACATTGAAGTATATAAAAATACACCAAAAATGGAAGAAAAACATAATCTTCAAAACAGTACTTCTATCATATTTCATGAATAGTCCTCACACTCAAAGACTGAAAATCTATTGTTAAACTTTGATTTAAAGGGCAATACAAAGCACTCACATTTTCTGGGCAGGACGCACAGCATGTAGGAAGTACGTGGTCAATCCCAGAGGAGGCACATCTGCCATGAAAGTGATGTCATAACGAGAATCTGCAATAACATCAGATAACTCCTGGAACACAGGACTTATCTGACTGGTAACAGCAGTGCCAGCAGTGTTTGTCACCTATAAAAGATTGGTGCAAGCATTGTGCTCTTCAATTTTATAAAAGTTTTAGTAACTTTAGCATCCATCTCACATTTATCATTCACTTCTGGATGACTAAATGAAAATGTGAAACATGATATATACAGGTAGGATGTAAGGTTTTCATGACGGTGAGTCTGCAGAAGACAGCCATCTTCATGATATACACAGCACTACATAAAAAACATACACTTAAATAAAAAAGAGGATAAACTTAAAATTAAAAAACTACAGTCTTTGGTGAAAATAAATTAAATGATTTTTCAGATGGTTCACTATCAGCCTGTAGGCACAGTTTAAAAGACAGTAATCAACAAGGCTAGACAACTGAAAGAAATTAATGAAACTGACTCTTAAGTTTGTTATACTGTAAATACCTTAATCATGTGCATTCTAAAAACTTCTTTCCATAAACAACTTTTACATCTGACACCTTGAAAGAACTACAGTGTGTCCAAAAAGTCCCTCCGGGATTTTGAAAAATTGTGGCGCTCAAAACAAATTGAGCTAGCCACATGTGGTTTGCGGCAGATTACAGTGAAACTCTGGAAGTTTTTTACTGACCTCAGTAGACCTCAATGTGGAAACATGAACACCTACCTGGACATGCTGGAACTGTACGCAGTACCACAAATTGTGCAATTACAGCCACACATCATTCTGCAACAAGATGGTGCTCCACCTCATTGGGGTCTGCAGGTACGCGCGTACCTAGACAGGACATTTCCAGGAAGATGGATCGGCAGAGACAGTCCAATGCCTTGGCCTCCACGTTCACCAGACATAACACCACTGGATTTTTTCCTGTGGGGTTACGTCTAGAGCAATGTGTTCCGAACACCAGTTAACAGACTTAATGACCTGATGACCCGTATCAGGAATGCGATCTCGGCTATTCCAGCGGACATGCTCCACAGAACATGGCAAGAGCTCGAATATCGTCTGGACGTTCTCCGTGCTACCAAGGGAGCCCACATCGAGGTCTACTGAGGTCAATAAAAAACTTCCAGAGTTTCACTATAATCTGCTGCAAACCGCATGTGGCTACCTCAATTTGTTTGGACGCCACAATTTTTCAAAACCCCGAAGGGACTTTGTGGACACACTGTATTAACGTATGAGTAAGATCCACTGTCAGACTGTCAGGGCTCTTGTGAACAGTGTGAACTTCCAGCAGTCATTAAAACAAGGAATTTGTTCACCTACCAATTAACTAACAGCTGTGGAAGGAAGGCATTGTAACAGGGAATTGGTTTCATTAGTTAATGATTCAGTTACTACATGTAGTAATTATGGTTGTATTAGGATAATAAAGGTCCTCACAGTAAATTACACATTATCTAGGCTAATGAAGAGGAGAACATGCACAAGTAACAAAAAACACGGATAATCCAAATATTCTGTTTAGTGCATTCAAAGAAATTAATAAACTGCATTTCATTTCTTTACATGACATATTTATTTTGAGAAATAGTCTGTAATTACTTGTTTTTGTGAACTGTATAGACTCCTTCTCATGGCAGTAAAAATTTTGCTTCATTCCCTCACCATCATCTTCTCCCCTTCATTTTGTGGCAGCAATGAAAATGTCTCTCTGCCATGTGTTGGAAACTCATATCATATGCATCACTCTGTAGCCATTATCAAACCTCACAGCACATACAATTTCAAGAATTTTGGACTTGATTTATTCATCAGGAACACCTTGCAAACCTTCTTCTTCTATATCTGGAAGAAGTTTTCTCCATGACCAAATCAGCATTAATTGATTCATGCAAGACCATACACTACATGTAACATCTGACACCACCATTTCTTTACATTTTGCCATTATTTTGTAATCTTCATTGGTAAGAGTTGTAAGATTAGCCTGGTAGCATTGTTTCATAGATGTAATCACTTAATCCCTACTACTTAATCTTTGGCTAATTCTGTTGTTTCTCTGTTTTCAAATCTTTCAAGTGATTCAAGCTTTTGTTTTACTACAGTACAATTTTCTTATAATTTTCAGCCATTTTATTTAGGATCCACACATGTTTACTCACATTTTGATCTAACTGATGCACAATACAACATAATGGGATTGACTGTAGGACAACATTGAAAAAAGGTATTGTTGAACTATACTGTCTGTAGACCCTCCCAAAATCACATACATCCCTTCCCCAAAGCAAGCACAGAAAGATGTTGATAGCCTAGTTCATATGCATCCAAATGTATGTAAAAACATTAACTGTGTGAGCATAATCCAAAAATAGGACAAGCTGCACACTGATAATCAGGAGTTTACAACATACAGAATGTCCAAAATGATCTTTATGATTTCAATCTTTTACTATTCATAGCAAGTATAAGGTGTAGTTAAAACTATTGCAGTCAGAATGACCAACTCAAGAAGTCTGAGTCTGGTGCTCAGGTTGCTACCTACTGCACATTTTCACAACTAGATACAGAGCTATATTCATCAGTACTACAAAATGGTGTTGTACTGTAATGACAGATTTTGTTTCTTGAAAAGCCAACATGCAAAATGCATTTTCTGGCCTGTACCCCATTTGTGATACTGACAAATACAGCACTACAAAGTAGCCAGAATGCATAGTAGGCTAAGTTTATCTTTCAGATGATTCATATTTCTTAATTGTACCTTAAAAATGCTCTGAGTAATAAAAGATTATAAGTATCGATTTTGACACCTTGTATACTGTCTTGAAGCCAGGGTTCCACTGTAACATTAAACACCACTAACAAAATAACCTAAGATGACCTCATATTCACAAACTCAAATGACATTCTAGAGTCAACATGTGTTATTATTAATTATTCAGGCAGGCAATCTTACAGTTTGGTGGCAGAAATCTAAGTTACCTATAAATATTCAATAAAGTTTAAACAACCAAGTGTATTATCAAACTCTCCTTAGCAAAACAGCTTTATATTGACAATTTTATAGAACTATAACAGCAAAGAGATTTTACAATAGAAATGCATCTGGTCAACATCAGCATAAGCTCACCTTAACATTAGGAGTAGATACCCTGAGAGTGACCAATTCCTGTCGTCTCCATGTCAAAGAGTTATATAGTACAATTCTTTGGGACTCCAAACCTTCACCAACAAACACAACAGTCTTCTCTGGAATGCTATAGTGGTGCTTCCGAATATCATCCAGGTCAAAGTACACAAATTCTGAGTTAGGTTGGTACGGTACCTGGCATATGTAAAGAACCAAGTTGTTAACAGTTCAGCTTCAGAACACTCAATGCTGTGTTGTTTGATTTCAAAATTTATGAATTATACACTTACCCGTGGTGAAGATAACAAGAAGTGAGCAGCTTGTTGCATCACATGCTGCATTCCATTGATGGCCTCCAGCATCCTGCAAGAGCAATGGAAATGTAGTGAGAAATACTGTGGTCCTGAGAGTAAAGTAAGTTGTTTAGGTTAACAGGGCTGTTGAAAATATATTACTTAGTCAATTAATCTGTTACAGTGCACAACCTTATGCTGCTACTCTTTAAAATTACGTACAAAACTCATATTGAAGTAGTGCATACATTTAGTCTTCACTGTATTATGTTTTTATGGTCACTTGTTACAAATCTTGATCCCACAGCATAACTTGCTTGGTTTCTCTAACTTAGGGTGACCTACACCAGCATTATCTGAATTCAGATTTCAAATGGTATATTTACTGCTATATTTTTCAAAGTAAAATATATGTAACTCATTAATCAGTTAATTAAGTGATTAACAGCTGGTTATTGATGCAGTGGGGTGAAACTATCAAACTGCAGCGACTAACAGGCCCACTGTCTATCCCACAGATAATCCATGAATGGATATGGTAAAGAAGATATGATATTGACAGAGGAAAACTGAAGATGTCAGAGCAAAACCTGTTCCAGTGCCCCTTCATCCACTACAAATTCCAATGGACTAACTTGGGCATGAACCCAGGCTGATGCAGTAAGAAGTCAGTGATTAACCTGGTGCTTAAATAAGATTCATTGTGAAAGGTATTAGAAAGTGGAGGTTTATCTCCATTGTAGCCAGAAATTTTTTGAAGGAAGTCAGTTTAAAAACTTGAATTTTTCAAAGAACAATGGACTGGCGGCCAGGCCTGGTGGGGATTTCCATTGGAGGCGTTTTGGTTTGCTCCACCCCACGCCATAAACCATTGGCATCACTAACGGTTAATTCCTGGTCAAGAGCAGTCACATTTCAGTGCTGCTGTGTATTACTAAAAGTTTCAATAAGTTTTAGAAGTAACTTTTTCCAAAAAAGTGTCACGTTGAATGCATCTCGGTATCCCAAGAAAAGATCTCGTGATTCTGCTGACCGATAGATAGCTGATAAGAAGATTAATGAAGGTGTACAGGCAAACTATGTATTCTTAACCTCAGCACTAGATAAAGGTGAAGTAAAGGTAAAGTAAAGCAAGTCAGAACTCTTCAAGAAAGATCAAAAATCATAGAAGAAGTGGAGAAGAATCAATTTGAAAATAGAATCGACATTGCTAAACACCTTGGATGAGCACCATCTACTTTAAATTCAATAGTTGCAAAGAAGAAAGAAATCCGAAAACAAACTGACAAGTGTGGCAATTCATGCAAAAAAAGGAAAACCAGAAGAAAATCAACTTTCAGTGAGCTAGAAAGTGTCCTCTTCACTTGGTACCAGCAATCGCGGGCCTCAGGAATTCCTGTTGATGGCAATATCTTGCGGGAAAAAGCCAAGACGATAGCCGCAAGACTGAATATTGAAAATTTTGCAGCGTCGAATGGATGGATTACTAGATTTAAAGAACGACACAATATGGTTTACAAGAAGTTAGCCGGCGAAAGTGCTGCTGTGGATATGGAAAGAACGGAGCTGTGGCTCGAGAGACTGCCAACACTGGTGGAGGGATATGAGCCGCGGGACATTTATAATGTGGATGAGACCGGACTTTTCTACAACGCCCTCACGGCAGTAGACAGCGAGCTTGCCACATGTGGAGTCGACACCATTGATGAGTTGTGTGAAGAACGCGAAGGGGGTGGGAGCGGTGAGGAAGAGGAAGACGACGAATGCGAGTCCGAAGCTGTGTCGAGTTCTGCCGAAGCACATGCTGCATTGGAAAAAGTGAAGTCGTTCTTTTATGCGCTTAATATTAGTGAACGTGTCGAGGAAAACATTTTGAACGTGGAGAGGGCTCGGTTTGGCCTAGAATGTAAAGTTTCGACAAACCAGTTGTCCATAAAAGACTTTTTTGGTAAAAAGAAGTAACTTTGAAAGAGAAACATTCAGTTTTTTAAAATTTTTAATGCTTTCCCACAACTATCGTTTTCCCGTATTCATCGTTTTTATTTCCCACCCCCGCCAAAACCGATGCATCGAGGATTCACTGCATAAGGTTGCAGTTATTAAAAATGAACATGTTCATAATCACTTAATAAGAAATAGATTAGACTATCACCAGCTGTCTCAGAACCTTGAAATCTGTAACAACAGACTAGTAACTGTATAAATGAATGAATAAGTATACATTATAAATATGGAAAGTTCTGTTTTAGAGCATGTTTTTAGAAAGCAATAGAGAAAAACAAAGGAAAATAATTAATACCAGATATATGGTAATGTCCTCCAAATGTACATGTGGTATGCTAGTACCTTGAATTAAATATATTCATAAAAGATCATAGCATTAAAAAAAGCATGGAGACAAGGGACCTAAAACAAATTCAGTGAGAATAACACCTAAATCTTTAGCTAAAACTGATACATCAGTAGCCACATTCAGGATAAAGAGGACAGTTATAAACACAATGAAATAAGTGTTTCTAACACACAATGTCTGTGGTAAAATGGTACCACAACCAATTACTTAATGAAATATAGCAAAATAAGAGCCACAGTATTAGCCTTTACTTTAACTGTAAAGTTTAAATGCCGAGCGTGTGGCAGAGGTTAACCTTTCATAGGCACCAGTTAAATTATAGTTGCTAGGTTTTCACAGCGGTGAGTATGAAGATTTCTGTCTTCTGGGTTGTTGCGCTGTGTAGTCTGGTCGATGTTAACCAATGTTTCAGAGGTCATACTGCCTCCGACATCAGGGTGATGACCCTCGCCCTGTTGATGGAGGCAGTATGACCTCTGAAACGTTGGTTAACATCGACCAGACTACACAGCGCAACAACCCAGAAGACAGAAATCTTCAATTTAAAAGATGCTCATGTGGCTGTGTACACATGTAAAGGTTGAAGAAAATTATACTACCAGTAAGGTCTACTTTAATAGCTGTGATGAACAATATTGGCTCCTCATTTGATGTAATGTATTTAAATGCATTCTAAGTGAGATTTCATATTCTCATGGTGACAAATATGAAGATGACAGTCTTTTGGGACACTAGGCCATGTAGTCTCATACACAATACAATCTCTCATAAGGTCATCAAGTTCAAAATGTATTCTGCTTGTTTCCAAATTTATACACATAATATCAAATAAGTAACAAACAACTATTAACACTATAAAAAAGACACTATTGCCATATGCGTTTCAACCTCAAGAGGTCATCATCAGTGGCATCTTATTTGATATTCTAATACACTACACAATATGCAAGTTTTAACACATAATATATTTAAAATATTATACTGATACTCAATTTCCTACCACATAAAATTAAAAAAAATTGATGGTATAATGATAATTTATCAAATGCCTGCCTTCATAGAGTATGTTACATGGTTTCAGATGAAAAGAATAATGCAAATTGTTGCTGCCTTACTTCTTGGCATAATCTTCTACAACATGATCTTTGGCAGTTCCAGTAATAGCATCATGATGTTGAAACAAACTCAGACTTCTTCGTGCATCACTCAACAGTTTTGTAAGACCAGATTCTGGTGCCAACAGCCAATCAGATGAGCTCTGCTTTGTGCTCCAACCCAATGAAAACAACAGCTCAGTAGCCCTGAAATTATAATAATGAATTTGGGTTGATCAATTATGGGAAAATAAAGTTAAATATCAAACTAAACTGAGGAAAATATTATAACTAATTTCTGGAAACAGACCTTCCTTACAGGATAGCAGTACATTCAGCTAGTCCAGCAATTTCCAGCATTTTATGAAATTATGTGAATTACTGTGCTCATGAGAGCCTGGCACCAGTCCCAATCCTGAACCAAATTACTCTTATCCACAAATCCAAACCTTATTTCCCAAATATCCATTTTAATATTAACTTCCAAGTGGCCTCTTCCCTTCAGCATTTCTAACCAAAATTTTGTATACATTTCTAATCTTCCTCATGCATGTTTTAAGCCCCATCCATCTCATCCTTCATTATAATATCCTTATGATCTCATTATATATCTTTATTTTTATGAACAATATAATGTTTACTATATGACAATTCTCCTCTGATTTCTGGTAACTGTCATGTTAATAAATATTAGAACCATAAACATACATAAAATACTAACTTTATGAAAGCAAGAGAATTATTGAAGTGTACATTTCTTATATTGTAATAAATTATTAACTAACTAACTAGATGGCTTACCGAACCCGAAGGTTCATCACCGAATTAACCAAAGCCCTCCACCGGACCCTGTCCTGGGCCAACAAAATCCAGTTTCCTTCAACTCCTATCTCCCATAGATCCCGCCTGAGATTATCCTCCCATCTACGTCTAGGTCTCCCCAGCGGTCTCTTCCCTTCAGGTTTCCCCACCAGTACCCGGTGCACACCTCTTGTCCCATCCATGCGCGCTACATGTCCCGCCCATCTCACTCTTCTCGACTTAATCACCCTCACAATACTGGGGGAGCAGTACAGATTTTTAAGCTCGTCATTGTGCAGTTTTCTCCACGCCCCATCGTCTTCCCTCTTAGGCCCAAATATCCTCCTCAACACCCGATTCTCAAACACCTGCAATCTGTGTTCCTCCCTCTGAGTGAGAGACCATGTTTCGCACCCATACAAAACAACAGGCAAGATTATTGTTTTGTATACTTTAATTTTCAGGTTCTTAGAAATCAGACGGGAAGACAAAATATTTTGGACTGAGAAGTAGCAAGCATTTCCGGAATTTAGTCTCCTCCTAACTTCCTCACAAGTATCATTTTGATTTGTTATTGTTGTTCCCAAATATTTGAACTTTGTAACCCTTTCAAAGGATTTATTAGCTCCCCTAAGATAATTTTGCCCGCCTGTCTTCTGATGACGAGATACTAACATGTACTTAGTTTTTTCTGAATTTACTTCCAGCCCCACTTGTCTACCAGCCTCTAGTAAAACTTCTGCGTTCCTCTTTATTGTATTTATATCGTCCCCCAATAAATTAACATCATCAGCATATGCCAATAGCTGATGTGTCCCGTTCAATTGCAAACCCTCCTGCCTACCTTGGACCTTCCTGATGGCGTATTCTAGCGCAAAGTTAAAGAGCAAGGGAGACAAAGCATCTCCTTGTTTTAGACCGTTCTTGATGAGGAATGTCTCAGATACATATTTACCTACTCGAATTTTGCTGCAGGTTTCATTTAAGCACATTTTTATTAGACCCACTAGCTTCTTTGGTATACCAAATTCAATAAGAATATTATATAGCACTTCTCTCTTCACAGAGTCATAGGCTTTTTTGAAATCTATAAATAACTGATGTACAGTCCCACCGAACTCCCATTTTTTCTCTAGTATCTGACGAATGCAAAAGATCTGATCAATCGTTGATCTGTTTCGTCTGAACCCACACTGATGATCCCCAATAGTTTCATTCGCATATGGGGTTAATCTTGCCAAAAGAATGTTGGATAGAATTTTGTATGAGGTTGATAGCAGCGATATTCCTCGGTAATTACCACACTCAGTCTTGTCCCCCTTCTTATAAATAGGAATAATTATGGATTCCTTCCATTGATGTGGCATCTCTTCCTTATCCCAAATTAACTGAATAAGCTTATGGATCCTCATATGCAACCCTTTGCCACCTGCTTTAATTAATTCGGCCGGAATCTGATCAATTCCTGGAGATTTATAACTTTTCAACTTCCCAATGGCTAGTTCCACTTCATCTAAGCTAGGTTCTGGCACCAACAGTTCAGCTGTATGCATTTTAATCTGTCTAATATCACCAGTATTATGAACATTTAAGAGCTCGCTAAAGAAATTTTTCCACCTATTCACAATTTTTATTGGATCTGCAAGCAAATTGCCACTATCATCCTTTACCAAATTAGTCTGGGGTTGATATCCTTTCTTAAAGTTATTAATGCCTCTGTACAGGTCTCTGATGTTTTTTTCCTTATTATTTGTCTCAAGTTCAGCAATTTTGCCCTTCAGGTATTCCCTTTTCTTAGTCCTAAAGGTTCTACTAGCCTCACGTCTCACGTTACATAGATTATCCGCATTTGTTTTGTTTGGGTTCTGCAACCATTGAAATTTTGTTTGCTTCCTTCGATCTATTAATTTTGAACATTCTTCATCAAACCACGGTTTATTTTGCTTTCTCCTGTAGTATCCTAGTTTCTCTTTTGCTGAAATTTTGATGCAGTTTCTGACATTTTCCCACTCCCTGTTGATGTCCACACTTTCATTATCCTCATTTGTCTCTAAAATTTGAAACCTATTCGAAATTTCAACTTGATATTGTTCCTTTGCCTCTCCCTCACTTAATTTTTTCAAATCAAATCTTTCTGTGTCAAAATTTTGTTTAGTTCGTCTACTTACTGAAAGCCGCTCCCTCACTTTTGCTACCACCAGATAATGATCAGTGTCGCAATCTGCTCCTCTGAATGATCTCACATCAATTACATTTGTCTGCCTTCTCTTATCTACTAAAACATGATCTATTTGATTGTGTGTTCTGCCATCTGGGGAAGTCCAAGTGTATTTATGAACATCACGGTGTGGAAATTTTGTACTTTTTACAATTAAATCTTTTGACGTAGCGAAGGTCACTGCTCTGACGCCATTATCATTACTAAGTGCATGGAGACTCTCGCTGCCTATTGTGGGTTTGAAGACATCCTCCCTCCCAATTTTTGCATTGAAATCTCCTAGCAGAATTTTCATGTGATACTTGCCAAATGTATCAAATACTGATTCCTTACATAGTCTTAATATTTAATGAGTCAATCATATATTCTGAATGCATCTAAAATTAAATACACTTCAAATAATTTAATTTAAGACCGTATCATGGTCACTTATCTTTTTAATGACTTACTGAATTCAAAAATTAACAAAACAACAAACTTGTACACATGTTCCTAAATTGTATTTGTGTTATTAGCATTTTTTATCATATTTCCCTGGAGGTTGGAAGGTGGAAGTAAGTAAAAGACAAATTATAAAGCTCCATGCAACACATAACTGAGACAGACAACATGCTAACCTGATGTAAGTTAAAAGCACACGATCCATGCGCTTATAGAATGGACGAGATGTGTAATAACCACTCCAGTAGTGATCATCACGATCTGCATAAGTGAAGAAATCTCCTGACAGGGATGGAAACCTCTCTGGCTTTCTCTCTTCCCTCACTGCATTAAAATAGTCGTTTAATGTTCCAAACTGTGCCTGTGGGGTAGTCCATATGTTATTACTAAAAACTGTAAGCATGAGAAACATGTCCTTCAACATATACCAAAATATGATGCACAAAATAACTACAGGGTATCCACTGTAACAAATGGCTGGAATGGTAAACTTCAACAGAATACATAATTTCCAAATTTCATTGACTATGACTGTTCACTTATTGCCAACAAAAACCTCTTATTACATACATAAACCTCCCACTGGACACTAAATCACATTACAGGCACACTGAATTCAGTTATATACTCACTGTATAAAAGAAATATTACAAACAAAAAATACATACAGTCAAACTCGGTTATAACGAGATCCAAGGGACAGTTGAAAAGTGCCCATTATAACTATTACTTGTGAAATCCAAAATTGTTTCTATATATTGCTTTTGCTGTTACTCACCACTTTTATCACACACAAGCATGCACACACACACACACACACACACACACACAGATATATACTTATGGAAAAGGGATAAAACAATAATAAATAAACATAGCTTATGATTACACGATTAACAATTTATTTCGACTGAATTTGAAAGCTGAATGATTCATACCGATACGGAACAATTTAATTGGTTAGTTTGCCAGGTAGTTTCTCTCCCTAGGTCCTCTGAGAATCCATAACATTAGGAAAGAGATAAAAGAGAGGATTAAGAGATTGGGGAAAAAACAAAAAGCTCAATGGCATGTGCACCTGCAATATAGGACATGTTCTATTCAAACAAGGCAGCAGTATAGCGAAATCATTCTGCCCTCCCCCACCATGGGAAACCATTTAGATCACTAAACATTTGCCCTCATGAGCTGGCATAGCTCAGTCAGTATAGTGACTGGCTACGTACTGGACTACCAGGGTTTGATTCCCGATGGAGGCAGAGGATTTTTCCTCCAGCCTCTGCATCCAGACTGGTTCTGGGGCCCACCCAGCCTCCTATCCAATGGTTATGGGGTCTTTTCTGGGGGTAAAGCGCAGCCAGTGCATGATGCTGACCACTCATCATATCTAGTGCTGAGGTCAAGCACGAGTAGGAGCTATACCTCCTCTTCCTGCAAGTGCCTACATGGCGTATAGTGGGATAGCTTTACTTTTCTTTACTTTACTTTTACATAAATTTGCCCTGATACTTTTGAGGAATTTTCTGTATAAAAAAGATGTAAATGGCAGCGTAAAATTAGGAATTTAGAATTGGAATTGGTAGGGAAGGTACAGTAGTAATAAGGAATAGGTATAGTAAATCAGTAGTGTAATGAGTTTGAGTGTATCTTAATAAGATCTATAGGTTTTTTATTTGCATAGAAATTTTGCATATAATTAGTCATTATGAGAAGATACACGCAATTTGCTTTGAACTTCGTGTTATGTAGGTGCTATCTTGGACAGATACAAACGGAAACCAAATATGGCCAACTTTTAATAAAGATCCCAATATATAGAACTTAATTAAAATTCAATCAGTGGTTTCAGGTCCTTCCAGGGAAGCTACTAATCACTAAGCTGGTAAGAAAAGTCCACTTTTATGTAGCCCAAGGACTCATTATCATGCTCATAACAACCCACAAATGGGACCTATCTTCAACCAGCTAAATCCAGACCACACACTCACATACTATTTCCTTAAGATCCATCTACATACTATCCTCCCATCTATGCTCAAGTCTCACGTGGTCTCTTCCCATCAGATTTTCTGATTAAATGTCTGTATATCCCAACTATTAAGTGTTTGTCTGTCAATTTCAACATAAATAAAACTCAGCTCCACAAAGCAAACAATTATTGCACCTTTTTCCACAAGTAACATTTATAAGAAACAGCTTTTTGCCAAGAAATAAGTCATAAATTAGGTAATAATTCATGTGCCTGTCCTTATTACAATATAAAAATTGGAAGTCTGCAAAGAATTATTAGAGAGGCCAACATAAAAATTTGTATTTCAGACTCTTTCTATGCACCACCTGTCTTTGTTCCTGCATACCACTTTAATCCTAATAGGTCTAAACATATCTATGGGACATGTTGGCACTTCCGGTGAGCAAATATTAGTGGCACTTGATTTGGCTGAGAAGAGACAGTGCTGAGTGAACTACTGCACTGACACTCTGAAAATATTTTGAGTTCTAACCTCTCTCAAAATCTGGCATGCTAGCATGTGCTTACTGTCTGAAGTAACTGAATACTTTATATACCAATCAGCATGTGTGCAGTGATTGAAGCTGACTGGCTGTCAAGGGTATGTGACAGTAGAGATAAAGAAATGTCAAAAACTCAGCCACCAACATTCCTGTTGGTCAGTACAGTACCTTGGTAACCAATAAAACTTCAAGTTATAATACAATATTAATTTTATTAAATATTTCAGATAATTTTCTTAACCATAAATGAAGAATAGAACAGAACTCTTGTGCATTGCATCTAGATTAAACAAAGGACAACTGACCCAAGTCTGCACAGAGTACACTCTGCAGTATACATACATCATTATTACATTCCATGGATTCATAAGATAGTCACAAGACAACAGGATGTGGAAAAAGTCATAATAATAATACAATACATACCAGGTGATTCAAAAAGGACTTTACAACTTTAAAAGTGTATAGAAATTCATTCAGAAGGCTTACAGAATCGGTTGAGGTGTCATTTTGTAGCAAAACAAATCAAGTTTGACTCACGTTGTGCTGTAGTACCGAATTCCGTCACCACGAGCGCAAGCGGCAGTGCATTTGAAAATGGCTCGAAAATTTTCTCATACCACAGTTAGACGAAGATGACCAAAAAGGACGCATTCACTTCCAGCAAGACGGCGCACCACCTCACTACCTCACAGAAGTCCGGGATTTCCTCAATAACCGTTTCCCAGGTCGGTGGATTGGTCGAACAGGGTTGATAGCATGGCCACCTCGTTCTCCAGATTTGACACCTCTCAATTTTTTCTTATGGGGTTTCATTAAAGATCGTGTGTATGTTCCACCCTTACCTGCCAATCTCACTGAGCTCAAAGCTCGAATCACC